CTAACTTGAAGTTATTACTTTTATTAAATGCAGACTCATGCTTTTCAGGATTCCTGTTGGTAGACCTAACACAACACAGCATGCAAATAAAGCCTAATTTTAAAATCCCTCTTATTATTTTATACAAAGCAGATTCCCCAGACCTAAGTAGCCCTGTCAGGCAATGGAGTTGGCTACAAACTTGTGGCAATTCCACGCCTTGCAGCTGAATTAGAATGAGATAGCTTTAAATAAGTGGAAACACCAGCTTAAATGACACTAGCCATGACAGCTTAAAATGTAGGAAGTACAGAAACATCTTTGTTGAGTAATCTCTACAAAGCTTTAAAACTAACAGTTCTGTCAAGACTTAAGCACAGCCAGCTGCATCCTCTTGAAATCCCGCATCTTTCTGGGGCTGCCTCCACAGTGGGCACATACTGCAAAGAAGCCACATTTCTTCGAAAGCAATTTATTTGTTCCTGGGTAACAGAATACAGGGAAGGAGCAAGATGATGCCTGTAACCTCCTGTTGCACATCTCGCCTCCCAGTCTGTGCATCTATAAATACTTTGTACAACACCAAGCTTATACTATCCCCTCAAGCGTCTTCTCACACTCTACCAGATGCAGAGTATAGTGTTGACCAGGCCAGGTGAGAAGGTAAACCAGATGCCCCACTCACAAGGCAGGGCTCCCCCACAATTATTTAAACTGGTGGTCCTAAATTATGTTGACACAAGTCCTAGAGTCACTTAACCTTACAGACTTGGAGTATCTAAGGTCCTTTCCTTTCTAAATCTCAGGTTGCCTGTAGCACCAAGACTGCTGCCCCTGGGTCCCCCACATCCCAGGGTGGCGATGGAGGAAGGGCAGGCCAGGCCAAACATAAGGAATAAAGTCTTTATTGGGCTCAGACCAGGAGTCCGTGGGTCTTGAGGACCTCTGTGTATTTGTCAATTTTCTTCTCCACGTTCTTTTCGGCCTGTTTCCGTAGCCTCTGTGGGGATAAGGACAGGTGGTGGTTAGTGGCTGTTGCTTGGTCCCACCCTCACTACATAGATCCAATCTCATTACACCCCAGATGGACCTCAAAAGCACTACTCTGCTAGGAGTGCAGTGCCCTCTGTAGCCAGCCCCTGCCCTCACCATGAGCTGCTTTTTCTTCCGGTAGTGGATCTTAGCCTTCTCCTTCCTCTTCTCCTCCAGGGTTGCTGTCACTGCCTGGTACTTCCAGCCAACTTCGTGTGCCAGGCGCCCCAAGTAGGCAAACTTTGGGAGAAAATTTGAGTTGTAAGGACACCCCCCCACCCCATGGGATGTCACTTGTCCTAGAAGACCCTGGTAACATCATTATCCAATTGCCCTTAATCCCCTGTAGAAAAGCACACATCCTTCCACCCCTCCTGGCATCAGCTGAACTATTAGTGCTTCGGCACTGCCAACAAGGGCATCCGCAGACCATCGTGAGAAAAACATCATCTGCCAGGCTTGGGGGGACCTTGGTTCATGCCTGACACCCCTCTTTATTAGGACAGTTGGTGTAATTTGGACTCACTTTTCTTGTAGGCTTCAGACGCACAACCCTGAGGGCAGCAGGAACCACCATCCGTTTTTTCTGTTAGAGAAGGAGAAGGGCTTAGAAACCTGGATCGAGGGACAGACAGGAAGGCGGCTAGTTGGGAGGGCGTCTCAGCCAGTGTTGTTTTCACGAAGCTCAAACAATGTAGGTAATTGTAGAACATCATGGACGCTGCCTGCATGGATGCTGCATCACGGACTTGGTCAAGCTCACCTTGTCGTAGGGTGGTGGGATCCCATCGAACACCTTGAGGCGGTCCAGGGCAGCCTGGCCACGCTTGGTCTTATGGGGCAGCATGCCTATGGGGAAGGAGATGGCAAGGCTGCTCAGTGGGGATCAAACATCCACCCTCTCCCACTAGGGCAGGCTGACGGGTAGCCTCAGATGGTAGTGCATGTAGAGTTATCTCATAGTAGGAAAACTCGAACACGAGTGGGAGAAGTCCTCATCACTGGTCGCCCGCCTGTCACCACCACCCGCGGCTCCCAGGCCCAGTTTACCTCTCACAGTGCGCCAGAAAATGCGGCTTGGGGCCCGGAAATGGTAGGGGCCACGGGACGGGTTGGTGTTCATCCGTTTGCGGAGGAAGGCCAGGTACTTTACTGAGAAGAGAGGAAAGCACAAGACCTGCCTGGTTTGCCAGACCCACATCAGAACTCCCTTCTTGTTTCAAGTCCTTCAAGGATATAAATTTTTATGACCAGACCCACCCAGGAAACCCTAAACTTCTCCCCGTATTTCCCAGGGCCTTTTCAGGAACTCAACTAGCCTCTCCCACCACTGCCAGAATGGCTTTGGAGCCACCAGCCTCAGTACCCCAAAGGGAGGAGACCTTCTCTAGCCTTCCTCCCAGGCCACAACTTACACTTGTTTCTGTAAAAATTGCCAGAGATGTTGATGCCCTCACAACGCACAACTACCACCTTCCGGCCTAGAGAGAATGGGAGACATTCAAGGAGTGTATACAGACAGTGCCACCTAAGCATACCTCCCCGTCCAGTCAGTATTTACACATGTGGGCCCTTTCCTGGGCCACGATTGACCACAAAGTAGAAGAGCCCTAAGGTGAACCTCTTGTTCCAGGTCTCAGGGTGGTATCTAACAGACCTGGATTCATGCTGAAATCAAAGGCTCATTTAACAAAAATGTCAGTTGTGCCAAGGGTCTTCAATCAAGGAAATGGAGTGGCTGGCAGGTCTCAGAGCGGTGCATGGGGTTGATCTCATTGTCGTGAGACTCAAACGAAAGATGGTGATTGTTGCTCATCATTGACCTCCAGGTGGAGTTAACAAAAGGAAGTACGGGGCAGAGGACTTACCCAGCAGTACCTGTTTGGCCACAATGGCCGCCAGGCGGCCTAGGAGATGGCCTCTGCCATCTAGCACCAGGACCTGTAGAAGAAAAGATGAGAGGGTTCAGGGGTACTGATAGTCTTTCTGTGGCTCCCACAAGCAGCCACCATTCCTACTTGTTTCTCTTCTACATTAGCCTCAGGCTGCCTCCTACCCAGCTACCGGACTATGAGCCAAGGTGTTTTAGATGAAGGAAAACTAAAGCCAAAAAAAACAAAAGGTTCAGAGCAAGACAAGACATCAGAACTCAGCCCGGCATGGGGGTTCATGCCTGTCATCTTAGGACTTTGGGATTGGGAGGCTGAGGCAGGTGGACTGCACAGGAAATCAGGACCAGTCTGAGCAAGAGAGACCCTGGCTTTACTAATAGGAAAACTAGCCAGGTGTGGTTGTGGGCCCCTGTCGTCCCAGGTATTCAGGAGGCTGAAGCAAGAGGATGTTTTGAGCATGAGTTTGATGTTGCTTTGAGTTAGGATGATGCTGTGACACTCTACCCAGGGTTGATAGTGAGACTATGTCTCCCCACTGCCAAAAAAGAAAAAAAAAGAAAAAAAACAACACACCAAAACTCCCCTCTTGTCTCAGGTCCTTGAAGGGTATAAATTTTTATGGCCAGATCACATTTGCACTTAATGAAATACAAGTGAGGATTAAAACAGAGACAGCAATGCTCTGTTGGTGAATCATCTCATTACAAGAACCTATAATCTGCAATAGAAACTATAGGTTTCTAACAGAATTTACGTTTCTTCTACCACGAATCTCGTAAGAAAACCATGTTTCAGGTGGGATGAAGTCAGACAGTGATCAAAAGCCAATGTTCACTTGCTACCTCCCTGGTATGCCACCCAAGCTCCAATAACTTACTTCTCAGTCCCCTGCCATAATGCGTGTCACAAAGTATAATGAAATTATGCATATAATAACTGTCGTATATATTTTTCTGAGTACCGGCATACAGAACTTGACGCCTGCTTCCTGACAATGTGACCTGTGCCAAAAATCTACAAATTTCCACGTTTCAATTTCCTATACTAGGAAAACAACCATGCCCTTCTCAGGAAATACTCAAGTTAACCCAACTATTCCAAAAAACGCAATGCCTACCGGTTTAGGAACAGGGACGCGTGCTCAGTGAACTCTATCATTTGCTTAGGCACGCCTGGCTTGGAACTTGTTTCCCATCCCAACCACACTTAAAAAATTCACTAAGAAATCCTTTATAGAGCCAGTCTTTCATATATAAGTAGTCACGCCAGCAACCAGGAACTCAAAGCTAAGCTTTTGCTGTGTTTCCCGAGCCCGCCACCCCGCCCGCCATGGCCAAAGGCCGTCCCATGTCCGTGGAACCATTTGTCACAACCCTGCTTCCAGCAGAACATGCTTTCAAGGCACTCACCAGCCCCAAACAAGGAGAAAAGGTCATTCTTGAATGACCCACAGTTTAGCACTCTCGACCCCCTGCAGAAAGGGATTTCATATTAAAATAGCCAGAGCGGCAGAGAAGCCGGATTGGCACTCCCACGTGAGGCTGAAGTAGCCCGCGCATTGGACAGGATGGAAGTACCTTCCATTTGGCTAATCCTGAATTTCTCATTGCCCTGAGGCCTCCCAGACAAGACTTCGAGTTCGCCACCGCTGGGGACACGCCATGGTCCGATTCGGACCAGACCAGACCTTAGGGCTTACATCCATTACCCGAGATCAAAGAAAGAGAAATCTAGTTGTGCTAATGCCCCTCCCTGTGCTGGAAGTTACTACAATTACCCCCGCCTCGAAAATAAAATGCCATATTTTGCCCAACCCTACTCCTAAACACAGCCTAAACATTTCCCACAAATTCCCCTTGACCCGAGATCTCTTGTTTGTTCAATTATCTTTCTTAAGTTTCCTAACATATATTGGAGAATATAGAGGGCTCAATCTCGTTCTGGCCTGAATCCCACCCAGTCCCATGACGCCCCGGCCCGCGCGGAGCCCACACCTGCCCCTCCGCCATCTTCGGCAGCTGCCTGGGAAAGAAGGAAGCATTGGCGCAGGGTTTCTTATCCCTTGACACAGGGGCGGAAGAAGTGACGAAACACGGTCTACGTAGGCAGCTTTCTTTTCATTGGCCAAAGTGCCGTGCGCCTGTGGAGAGGCGCCTCACTGGGAGGCGGGACGTCTTCCGACTGTCCAATCCAGATAGCATCCCGATAGGCCCTGTCGGCCATGTCTGTATGGGGCAAGAGATCACGTGGGGCGTGGAGGCGGATCTGCTGAGCCCGGTTGCCCAGCCTCCGCGGCCATATTTTTGAGGGGCTGTTAATCTCGTTCAAGCGCTCTTTCTGCCATGTTTGTGAGGGGAGGCGCCATTACCCCCTCAAATTACTGAAGACCACAGGAGGCAATGAGGCTAGCATTTTAGTCTTCATCCTAAGATTAGAGGTCCCGATTTCCGTGTGCGGTCGATCTCATTAAGACCGGGACAAACGCCAGGCCTTATCTGGGCCTCAATGGTACCACTTGTAAAACAAGTCGTGGTAGTCTTTCCTGTGAGATCTAAGAGTGGGCGAAGAAATGACTTCCAGGTGCCTGGACTACACCAATCTGCTAAGTATTACTCAGAGGAACTTCTCATTTTCTGGACTTTTGGTTCGGCTGTGTCCCCTGCCTGGGATGCCCTCCCTCATCCCTCCAAAATCTGGCTTGTCACAACCCCACTGCCCTTTGGCTCCAGGGAGCCTCCCATATATCCTAGCTTAGTTATAGGTCTCTGGCTCCCATGTTCTACAGTGTGTGGCATCCCGTAATCGAAGGACGGGTCCTTTGTCTTCTCTCTCATAGTCTAGGAGATGTGGGAGAACTGGGTTGGTTCTGACTCAGATGTGGGTTCTGGCATTGCCCAGCACTGGTCGTGGGCCCCAGAAGGTCTCAGAAGACAGTATTGTTTGAGACAGGGTCTCCATCCAAAACCGGGCTATATAAATATTGGCTCAAGCATTCCCCCTGCCTCATTCAGCCTCCCAACTAGCTTGGACTATAGTGTGCGCAATCACCACGCCTGGCTAATTAAAAAAAAAATTATGAAGTTGCACTCTATGTTGCACAGGTCTCCAAATGCTGAGCTCAGGTGAACCTTCCATCTCCATCTCCCAGAGTGGTGGGATTAGAGGCATGAGCTACCAGATCAGCCAGAAGACAGTCACAGTACTACATGAAACATTTCCTTAACTGATACACCAAGATTCCTGAAATCATAATTATCCCATTCTCACCTTGTTCCATCCACAGAGAGGCTTGGGCAGAGCTGGTAGAACAGGAAAATTTATATAGTTTCGTGGGGACAAGGGCTTTGTACAGAAGGGAGTAAGAGGGGCTGGTGCTGGGTTCTGGCGTTGTCTCCATCCTGGGGAGAGAGTAAGAGGAGCATTGGGACCCACGAAGGGACCAGCCTCTAGCCAACCTCTGTGTCCTGGCTGTGCATCCTCTGGCAGGTGGCTGCCCACTCTGGGCCTCAGTGTCCTCATCTGTAAAATGGGATGATAGATGTGTCTGTCTCACTGGGCTGTTTTGAGGATTCACAGAGAGGGAAAGTATTTAGCTCAGGGCTGGGCACAAACTCATGCCCCTAACAGCTCCATTCAGAGCTAGTGATCATTGCATGGCTAGGGCTCCTGTCCAAGAGAACTCTGCAATGATAGAAGGGTTCTCTTTTTTTGTTCTCCAACATGACACCGGCCCCATATGAATACCGAACACTTCAAATGTGGCTAGTGCAACTAAGGACCTGAATTTTAAATTTTACCTAACTTTAACTAACTTAAATTTAAGAAACGAGTAATGTGGTTATTGAGAGAGTGGGGAAAACAGAGGTTCAATAGGATTAGAGTGGGAGGGAAACTCCTCAATGTAGTGCCTTTTTTTTTTTTTTTT